CTAGCGACTAACCCTATTCAGGCAGCTAGCCTGGGATTCTAATGGGAAGCCGTGACAAGTAGGGTACAGCAAGTCGAAGATGAGGCAGTAACTCATCAAAGAAGATATTGCGAAATGGTCACGCTATGTCGTGCGTGAATTGTCAGAAGTTAGAATTCAAGATCCATTGGATCGGCTCCCAATGGCTGAAGGATCTACGAGCTCGTCCTGTAAACAGAACTTTTTATCACTCACTGTCCTGGAGACTGTATTTTTAAAATGATTCGAGGCAGAAAGTGTAGACTCAGTTATTAGCATAAAGACTGTTTAATTTTTTCCTACTCTATGTTACCCATTAAATATTCATATAACCGTGAAGGGGTGGTGTTAATTTGTTTTCTCTACTAACTAATTTGTTTACTAAATAAACTAGCGCAAAATTCATGTTTTTATTCCTAACATTAGTGTTCAGTATGCCAGTTGTTCCTAAGTATTTACAGCCGATTTCGTGTTTCCTGCTCCCACAGCTACCTTCATCCTGCTTTTAGCCATACTTCCCCTCCCCTCCTTGTGTCTACTCATCTTCTTTCTTTATTTTATTCCGTCTTTTTTTTGGTGTTTCACTCAGCTTCTGTCACCCGTCTCTCTCTCTGAGTTTTTTTTCTGCCTACATCTGTGCTCAGCACACTAAAGCGTGTAGAATACGATAGGGTTAACAAACGTATACACAACTCAACCTTGACAATCCAGCAGTCAGTCATTCATTAGTCGACACACTAGCTAGCTAGCTATTGACATTCAGTCTTCATTTAAAATATGGAAATATTGTCATGATCGTTATGATGAGTGGAGTATATAATAATACACGGAACAATACACACTTTGCTTATTATTATATATACCTTTGCGTGTGTTATAATTTATTTATTTATTTTATTCTACTGCTTGTAGTTAATTGTTTAAACTAATGTATATATATATATATATATATATATATATATATATATATATATATATATGTGAACAGAAAATTTGATTTATCAGAAATAGGAAATAATGTTACATTCTAATTTCTGTCTATTTATAATGTATGATGACAAGTGTCCAGAGTGTGTCCAACGTGTAACATATGTTGAATTGTTATCCTAGCAGTAGTTTACATCCACAAACACCCACCCACGCACGCACACACACACACAAACACAAGCACGCACGCACGCACGCACGCAGAAGCTATAAGCATGAAGTGCTCAAAGTTGATTCTGAGTCCTTTTGTCAGAAGAATATATATATTAATATATGTATGCACACTGTGATAACATCATGACTGTTGAAGTTAACAAACAAACGTGTTACAAAACATACAGAGAAGAAGTTAGCATACTGTCCCTTTTTTTTAAGGAGGCTTGTTAGGTGACAGAAGAGATAAATATCATATGAATGAATATATCACTACTTTTATTCTCCCTTCCATTTTATTGATGGGTTAAATCAACTTGTTCACAGTTATTGAAATTCATTAGACATGTAAATTATATTAATAAGTAGCTAATGATGTTCTTTGTTCAAGTCGGCTTTTGTCTTAAGCAATGGGTGCTGGGTTTTAGGTACTTAGGGTGGTGATGAATCTTAGACTTTCCACTGCCAGTTACCATCCACCAAATAATAGAAAAAGACGTTGTGTTGACTCCATGGTGTATTAACTCTCTGGATGTCAAGAAGTAAAGGAGTGGGGGGTTCGTTTATGTATAAGAGATAAGCTGGAAGGTTTGAGTAACATGGACACTGGTGTAGTTTACCCTGTCCTTTTTGTAATCTTATTTCGATTCTTTACTCTTGATTCGTGTTATTAGTTTAATTCAGGAACAAGATTGATTGTATCACTAATGAACATTGGAACTTCGGAAGCTAACTGAGTTACTGACTGAGTTTCAACGTGGAACTTTGTACAGAAGTGAAACACTTCAGGTTGTCATACTCTTGGGAAGCACACAAAAACACAGAAAAGAGAGAAAAATGAAATAGTGAGGAGAAATTTACAAGAGAAAGAATAGTAACTAGTAGGAACATGGGGATTTGTTGGATCTGGGTTGTTACATAGAGTGAGAATGGTTTTGAGTAATATCACTGACAATCTCAAGCTATTAGTTCTTTGCACTCCGAGGAACCTAACCAGACAGTAGAAAGCTATTTCTTACTGGTTTCAGAAAATGTGAAAAGATTTCAAATTGTGGATAAGAAATGTCTTTATTCAACATGGTGTGTTCGGAGAAGGAACCAGGTCAATCGACGAGGCTGGAAAACTTTATCAGTTGTGGTGGATGCAATATTTTTTCATGCATGACCTACTGAAGATTACCCCGCAGAGCAAAGTTCGTTGAAGTAGAATTAGCCTGTTAAAAAGTTGAGGTTAAGTTAGGCTGAAACATGCCATCTATCTATGAAGATCACTAAAACATGAGTAGTTGTCTAAAGCGCTGAAGGTAATCAGTGTCTATTATCAACGGATTTTGTGACGCATTTTTTCCCTTCACGTTCCCCAGTGGAACATAGGGCTCCAAGCTAGAGGCTTGAAGTTTTTGTGGCAGTGTTTAATTTTACGGGATGGGGTTGCTAGCCCCATGCCCAACCTTTCCTCTTTACCAGTCTCACCACTGACTTAGCGAGGTAAAAGAGTGCGCTGGCCGAGGATCGAAACCCGGACCATGTGCATGATCGGCGAGCGTACTAACCGCTATACCACCGATGCATACATCAAGCATAATGCTGTGCCAACTTCAGTAAAGTAAAATGTTTGTGTTTTGGTGATTCAGTATTAGAATGCTGACCAACCACACACACACAGGAAGTCTCAGCTCGGTTCCTGACCAACGTATTCTTTCATCTCGCCCGACTTACTAGCTGGTAGAAAAAGCCCCAAAAAGAGAGAATGTTGAGAAAGGATAGCTAGCAACTAAACCTGGTAAAACCCAAACAACACCAACGCTACTAAAACTTTAAAGTATGAAGTCCTCTATATTCCCGCTAGAACGCAAAGGAATGAAACAAAAATAATGTTTGAAGTTTACTGACAGAAAAGTTTGAATTTCGGGCTTACTAACCTCCCTCAACGAGATCTACCTGCAGCAACAAGAAAAAGAAAGATCTATCTTCCTTCGAATGTTATTGTAGTCTCTTCTTTCAGTCTTATTTCTTTCATTCCTTTGCATTCCAAATGGAACATAGAGCTTCAAGTTTGAGGTTTTGAAGTCTCAGCTTCACAACGGTGTTGCTTTTATGGGGTGGGGTTGTTAGCCTTACACCCAACCTCCACTTTTTACTGAAGGAGGGCGATTAGTGGTATCCGTCAGGGATGCCAACTATCCCCATTTCTATTCGATTTCATCATAAATGTACAAATGGATTTAACCCTAACTCACTTCAGCGACTCAGGGATTGACTTGTTACCAGGGTACAATATTCTCGTTGACTTAGAATATGGAGATCGTTTAGTCCTTCTAGGCGAGGACACTGACAAAATGCAGAGTCTTCTGAACACCTTGAGCTGCAATCTACGAATCTTTGGCGTGCGATTTGCTACCGCCAAATGTAAGGTGACGTTACAGGACTGGAATACACTGACTCCTAGTTTAGAAATAAGATGTGAAGTGGTAGAGGACGTTGACCGCTTCACTTATTTAAGAAGTACCATCAGCCGGTGCCAATGGGTTGATGTCTGACGAAATCTCAGTACGGATACAAAGGGCTAGTTTCGCATATTCCAGTTTACGCCGTAGACATGATATCTGGCTATCGACTAAAGGGCGAGTGTACTGCCTAGTAGTCCTCTCCGTCCTCCTTTATGGCTGTGAGCGAGACCTGGCCATTGACAGTGCAAGACATGAAAATGTCAGCCAGCTGTCTTTGATCATAGGTGCCTGCGTTCTATCTCCCGTGTGAAGTGGTAGAATAAGGTGAGCAATATTGAGGTTAGGCGTCGAGTGCTAGGTAAGGAGTGGAAATCAATCGACGAGGCTGTGAAATTACATCGACTGAGATGGTTACATATGCCTAGTCATCGCCCTCCTCGACAGGCAATGTTAGCTGACATAGGGTCAGGCTGGAAAAGAGCTGGCTAGTGGTGGTCAAACCGAAACATGGTTTCACCAGTCAATGAATTCCACAACAGTTAGTTTAAGCGAGCCAGCCAGTCACGTAGGAAGGTGTAAACTTCCTGACTGGTTGGGGTTCTTGGGACGATAAAAACCAATGAGGGCTGGAAACAATTGGTGGTATGGCTCAAAGTGATCGTTCTCAATGGCTGGCTGGCGCAGATGCACCCACTCCTTGTGACTTATCATTTTCAATAAAACTATATTGTTCTTCGTTATTACTATTCCTTTGTCTCACACCTCTGAGTGTGCCGACTTGAACCGCTGCACATCAGTGCAAAGTTCTATGTCGAAAACAGACAGACAGACAGATAGACAGAAGGAGGGATTACTTCTACAGATCAAGTGAAGTTGTAGAATGCATGAATGGCTGAGGACCGAACTCAAGGACCACATGTGCATGGTTGGTTGTTTGGTATTCTACAGGCAGACTGACGATTCACTATTTGCGTCTTAGAAATACTAAAAGACAGTAGCCTGAACTCATATATATTATGATCATATTTCATTATGTATTGTATGTATACATACGCAGATATGTTGAGTTATTTAAAAGAGATAATGCATAATACATAGAATTATTCAGTTAATGATTATTAAACACTTATTGATTTCGAGAGAAATCTCTAATAGCTTATTAACTAATTATCAATAAGTAATAATCACAATAATAATAGCAATAATAACTATAGTCAATAAGCATGCCATTTTAGATATTTGCAGTATTAATTATAATTTAACGTATGCATATACATATGTGTATGTGTATATGTATATACAACAACGAATGCTCTATTGATTCTTATTGCTGTCTTGTCTTCTTCACTTTTTCTTCTCTTTTCTTTCTTGCCATTCATCGTTCGATTCCAGTCGAATGTTACACGTGAATTTTGGCCTGAAAAAGTCGACGAGCATCGTTTACGTATGCATGAAGAACTTAGCCAACTGTTAGCCCCATGTATACAACAAGTTGTTGAACTGGCGAAACGTATTCCTGAGTTTAGTTCACTTGGTCAACCAGATCAGTTGGTGTTAATTAAAGCAGCATTTTTTGAAGTATGGCTTGTACAAGCTTCACGTCTGATATCAACACATGATCGTAAAATAACACTGGCTGATGGAAAACAAATTACTAAGCAGGAATTGGATTTTGTTTATTCTGTAAGTTATAAACGCAAAAGTAATTATTATTATTATTTGATTGTATTATTATTTCATTGTACATTTTGTTATGAATCATAATCAGACACAGATCACAGAGGCGCTGGACATCTGTTCGCGATTCTTCAGCAGTGCACATCCACGACCCAGGACCTTCAGATTACAAGACTAAAGTTGTTGATCACTCCCTGCCAGTTGGGCAGGAAGTCAGTGATCCGCGGATTCTATCTAGCTTCTGTCAATTCATAATACAGCACTACCTTCAACCAATGATTTCCAGTCAGCCTCCATTTTACCCTTAATATAGTGGATCCCATTGGTCCCGTGATTTTTAATTTGTAGATACTATTAACTTTAAGTTAGTCTCAGTTATTTCGTGGAAGTATTTTGTCGGAAATATAGTGGGTTAATCATTTAATGTGGTGAGTTTTGTATTGTTTTTTTAAAATTAAAACACAAATCCGGTACATTATGGACACCAGGAGATGTGTTACACAAATTTTCATAGCTCATAAGAGGTCTAGGATACTGTCAAGACAGCTAGACCGATTTAGTTGGTTGTCTTAAGGGGATCACTGCCCCCTCCTCCTCTGCTGAGGTTTTGACTTGAATTCTGAATCACAGGCCAGTGGAGTAGCATTAGTAGTTGTGTTCCCATAGTTGCTAATGTTCAAAACAGGTTCTTACGCTATTTGATCCTTTCAAGTTATGGAGCCCATGTACACCACTGGTTCGGACTCACGATTTTTCAGCTGCTCTAGGTGGACCTACGTGTCAAGGTTTTATCAAGAAAGAATGAAATGATGAACACTTCCCTGTGTGAAACTAGTCAACTAACAGAATACAACCTAGGAGTTTTCACCGTCACCTTCAGAAATGCCGAGCTTGTTTCACTTTAATAAATCTTGTCTCAAGTACATTTAATAATAATAATTATTATTATTCCCCTGAATTCCGAGTGGAAGATACGGTCTCAGCGGTATGTCTTCATTTCACCCTACACTCTGAAGTCTTTTTGAATACTTATAAGCTTTCATTTCCTCTTCGCATGATCCAACTAGGACACCCGACTCGCCGTTTCTTAATTCAGATTCCACTCGAGTGCTTGCCTAGCATGTAATGTCAGTCGACAGTGTCCTCAGCGTATTTTCAACCTACCTCTAATTCTTCTTGCATATATATATATATGTTAAGCAATTGGTTCTTGGTTGGTTCGTTGCACTGCAGAATTCCATGTTGCTTATTCATTCTGACCTTCCATCTCATCTTCAGTATTCGAGCCAGCTAAAGCAGCTGTTGATAAAAGTTTGCAGTAACCTGTTCGAAATGCTTACCGTGACATATGTGCCATTTACAAGCTATGATTTGACTTTAATATTGAAAGTACATATCTTTGTATGTTAGAGCGGTGAATGTCTGTCTTGCTTTTCCGATCTTGACTTCGGTATTCTCATCTGTAACGCTGATAATTAAAACGATAATATATCTGAACAGGTGGAAGAGCTGACTTTCTTTTGTACTTGTCTCTTGTTGACGATGATCAGTGGTTGTTGTTGTTGTTGATTGTTGGGTATTTTCATTACCACTGTCTTCTCTATGTGTTTATTTAAAGTCCCGTCTTCACTGCCAGCCTCTTCTGTTCTTGAAGTTCAAGTTTTCTAGGGTCTTCCTATCAGTCTAGCGAATGCCTGTCATATCGTTCGTTCCCCATGGTCAGTCACATCGCCCCAGCCTACTTCTCTCTCTTCACTTCAAAGACTTCATTGGGCTTCTCGTTGTGAATCACTTGACATGTGGTAGGCATCATCATCATCATCTTATAACTATTGATGGAAGTTTATAAAGGTTTGGGGCATTGTACTCCATAATTTTGAAGTAGCTTCTAAATTACTCCAAAATTGATGAAGTTAAGCTAGCAGAGAGGTCTGACTACCATTCTATTCTCTATTCATCGATGATGACGTATAGTGTTGCAGTTTCACACTGGTTTAGTGCAGAAATTATTCGCTTAGTAAATATTTGAATAAACAAATAGATAAACTTTGGTGGAGTGATGTGATTGGTGGTCAGCATGATATTATTATTACTACCACTATTATTATTATTATTGTTTTCGTTTTAATTTGTTTAGCGTTATAACAACATTCCGATACATACATTAATTTCACTCTGTTTATCTTAATTTTTATGTTTGTTTAGAAAAAAAAGTGTTGTTTAAATATAACATCAAGAATAAAAACAACAGTAGTTGGAATTCACTATGCATCTAAGCAAAATTTTTGATGTTTGTGAATGGTTGGTTGATTTAACAATCTTCAACTACCGTTTAACGGCTTTTAGGTCTTTGATACAGAGGTTAGGACGCTTGCCGACTAAGCATATGATCGGAGGTTCGATCCCCGGCCGACGTAAACCTGATATTAATGATCGGCCTGTTAAATTTGGGTTACCGTTACCACATGCTGAAAATTTCATATTGTGTGGAGTCAAGCTATAGTAAATTAAAAAATTAAAAAATATATATACCATGAACTGATTGACATGAGTAATTGAAGGCTACTCACATTAAGCAGCAGTTTTAGTCCTTGCTAGTCATCCATATCGAAGTAATCTAAATATCGGATGACCGTTTCGTTCGTTTGGCGACTAGCTCATCAGAGGTGTACTCATTTTAACTCAGATAATAGAACCGAATCAAGTGTTGATTTGTAAGGATTTGATTGGTTACAGGATTTCATCATGAGCTCTGACATTGGTTAGAGAACCATTGGAAAACCTACCAAGGAGTACTGGACAGCTGTTTCCTCCGTCCTAGTTTGGGACTCTTCAACAGTACGCACCCACCACCGCTGTTCGAACCCAGGACCTTCTGGTTACAAGGCCAGCGAGCTCGTAGACCACTAAGCCACTGGGACCCAATCCAATGGCCAGTCCACGAATTCTAACTTCTGCCAATTCACAATATAGCACGACCGCTAGCCAATGTCTTCTGTGGCGAGTATTTGTCTTCACACCCGACCTGGTGCGCCCTACTAGTCACGACTTCCCACTAGAACCCCAGGTAACTACTTACCTGAATTGGGGTAGTCGCTAGTGAGCATCTCATTGATATTTAAGTATTGGTTTGTAGCGATTTGGTTGACTGGTTACAGAATTTCGTCATGAGCTGACGTTGGTTAGAGAACCATTGGAAAACCAGTTGGGAGTACTGGACAGCTGTTCCCTCCGTCCTAGTTTGGGACTGTTCAGCAGAACACACCCATCGGGTTCTCTAACCAATGTCAGCTTATAATGAAACCCTAGAACCGAATCAGTTAAAATTGTTCGAATTCTGACCACCTACTTGAGCAAACGTTTTAATTCCACCCTCTGACTGGCGTACCAGTAAACTTCACTAGAATACCAATTATTCATAAGTTAAAATACGAACCAATTGTGGTTGTTTAGCCATTTTCCATCACATTTTTTTTGACTGCCAGAGAGTCCAACTGATTAAGAGTCATTTGTTCTCCTCCCTCATATCGTATTCATTCTAGTGAAATTATGTTTATTTTTTTTTTTTGAGTTGGGCACTAAATTTTCAAATGGTTACGTTATCACAACTTACCAAGGTCTGAATTAATTTGAAACAATACTAGTAGGTTTCACACACAGTGTGTGTGTGTATGCTTAATGTACACATATTCACCAAGGTGTAGTTAAAGTCAGACAACACCTCTGTCATTATGAACTCTGGAGGTGTGTTAGTGGAAGGTAGCTGATTTAAGTGACCTTGTAGGGAATTAATAGTCCAGATTTGATTGTAATTTGGCTTTCTTTCTATCCACAGTCGTATACACTGGAATAGTTCACTATGTCCTTCTTTACTTCTCTGGCAAACAGACATTGCTACTGCAATGTACGAAGAGACTAGCTTTCTTCGATTATAGTTGGTATATTATGATGATGGGTAACATTCAACTTAGGCGTTGAGTGTTGGATAACAATGGAAATTGTAGTAAATAGTTTGTGAAGCTGAGTCGATTGAAAGGATTAGCAGGTGTGTTCACAAACTACGTTGAGCCACATTATTATCCCGGGAATTCCACATTGTATCAAAAGTAGTGTTTGGAATAAAGCCAATGCATTATTATTATTATTATTATTATTATTATTATTACCATTAATACATCAGTGCTATGTCCAGTTACATCTATGAATGATGGTTAACACAATTCTGGGAAATTTCTTAAAGCCTTCAATCTTCTGCATAATATAATGATTAGTTAATGTATTGTCAACTTAAAGTTCATCCTGAATAAACTTTGTTAGTCCCCCTCTCCTAAACATTATTATCCGTGTAAATCAAAAATGATAATAGTAATAAGAATAATAATCTGCTTTATTCCAAAAAACATTACTTAAAATACAGCATGAGATTGTCAGCATTTGTCAAAATATTGTGTCTAATTTACTCAAAATATAAATAAAAGTAACCACAGGAATTTTTCCATATTTACAGTAGAAATAAAGTTAAAAATGTGCAAAGTACAAAATGAGAATAATAAATATAATAGTAATAATAACAGTGAGTTTGTTTCAAACAGTATTGTCGATTCAGTTTGGAAATTTTAGCATGTTATTATAGAGTAATGAATCTAATGTTCTGTTGATATAGTATAGTGAAGGGAAATACAAAATTAACAGTTATCCACACAGCTTAAATGATGTTCACACTTATGAAAAAATAAACAAATAAAAGCAAAAAATTGAGAGGATTACGAATACAAGAAGTAAAATAACAATAAAGTTTGATGTTGTAAGGGTGAAGGAAATGGTTTATTTAGTAGTGCAGAGAAGGTTAGTTAGTTAGTTCATGCCTAACACTATTTTCATTACATAAAGTACGTGCCGTCAAATATGGTATAGTGGAATTTTTTACTTAGACATACGTACATAAAGTCTTCTGAAAAGACTTCTTGTTTTACCTGACGAGGAGACACAAGGTTGGAGCTGCGGGT